GTTGAATAGGGATGGGTTACTGAATCGAGGCCTTAACCATGTCCCAAACAAATCAAATTATTTCACAGCTTAATATGGTAATTTATTGATATCAGAAATGCTCACAAGATTGCAAAGCTATAGGAAACATTATAAAGTGCTTATGACATTGTTGGCACTGTAATAATAACAGCAGTAATGTATGTCCAGTAAATTAAGCTCACATAATTTCTAGATTTGTCCTCCACTATTTTTGTTGCACATCTTAGTCATTTTTAAACTTGGTACATGGAGGGCCTTTTAAGTGGGCTTCCTATAGGGCAGAGAACATAGGATTTCTTGTAGATATTGGTTGAATTGAAATATAAATGCTGAGACACAGTTAACTTGGGCTAATTGGGCCTTTTCTTTACTTGTGATTTTCTTGTACAGCTAATAGTTGTTCTGGTGTCTATTTCTTTGTTCTTTCAGAGTCCATCCATGTAGGATGGCACAATAAAGTCATTCTTGTTGGCTATATGTCATCTTACCAATCCATTTTAGTTCTTGGCATTGATCACTCACCTTATTTTTCAGATGCTTCATTTCATTGTCTGTACTTTTCTATTTCTAAATTGTAACGTCTGATTTAATAAAGAAGTATTCACAAAACAAGTACCTGCACAGACAAAAGGCAGTCAAAGTATTATTTCATTTATGAAACTTGAGTGCAGTAAAGCCCAGCTTTTAGCAACAATGTGATCGCTCATTGCTATTTATCAGTGTTTATTTAAGATTTTAGTTGAATTAAGAACAAGGAAAATGCAATTTAGTGCAGAAAGGGGGTCACATAGTCTAGGCCTTAGTTAATTTATCTTTTATGACAGAGTCCATTTTCTGCTGCTCGTATTATTCCATAGAAAAACATTTGCCTCCTGAAAGTGCATCTGCAGCTGTAGCATGGACTAACTTAGTGGTAGCATTTAATTTGTGTTCCATTATTCAGTTATCAAGAAAAAAGTGCATGCTGAGAAATGCTATGTTTATTTAATAATAGCATAAACAGTAGTTTTGATAGGCAGAACCAATTACACTAGTACTTAGCTGGGAATACTATACCATTAGCTCAGAAACTGTTGTCTAAAAATCTCTGTCACTGGACTACAGGGATTCATCAGTCAGCTCTCCAGATAAATGCTAATAAGGAGATAAATTGATGCACTATACACACACGGTTTGGCAATTCAATATGGTAGTATGTTCCCTTAGCTCATGTATGTGGGATAACTTGCAAGAGTTATATCATATTTCCTTTTTATAATATATTATTGTTTATCGGCTTGAAGTATAATTGTTTTCATTTGGTTTTGGCTGCAAATGAATTTTAAATTTCTAGTTTGGATGAGGGATTAGGTTCTCACTTACATGCAGGCCCTTTTATACCACTCTGGCAGCCTAAAAAATCTTTAAAGTGCATGTAAATGTAATTTATGCTCAATGTAAGGACTCTTTACACTACCAGAGTAGAGTAAGGAGACCATAGACTAAAGGTGAATCTGGCTTTAGGAGATTAATCACCACCATCTTTAGATTGCCAACCAATTTTTTATTTAAAAAAACCTTGTGTTCTTGTATGTGAGCTTCTATTTTAACTAGATAAATGTTAATGGACACTAATGCTATATAAACTCATAGACTTTAAGGCTAGAAAGGATCATCATGATCATTTGGTCTGACCGCCTGCACATTGCAGACCACAGAACCTCACCCACCCACTCCCTGTAGTAGCCTGATAACTTCTGGCTGAGCTACTGGTGTCCTCAAATTTTGATTTAAAGACTTCAAGTTACAGAGAACCCACCATTTATTTTAGGTCAAACCAGCAAGTATCTTGTGCCCCACGCTGCAGAGGAAAGGGAACCTCCCCACTCCTAGGGGGAAAATCCTTTCTGACCCCAAACATGGCAATAAATTAGACCCACCATCCAGACACCTGGGAAAGAATTCTCCATAATAACTCAGAGCCCTCCCCCTCTAGTCTCATCATCAGCAGTTGGACATATTTACTAATAGCAGTTGCGGATAGGCCACATGTCATTGTAGGCAATCTCATCATACCATCCCGTCCATAAACTTATTAAGCTCGGTCTTAAAGAAATTAGGTATTTTTGTCCCCTCTACTCCCCTTGAAAGACTGTTCCAGAAGTTCACTCCTCTGGTGGTTAGAAACCTTCTTCTAAATGTCAAGCATAAACTTGTTGATGACCAGTTTATATCTATCTGTTCTTATACCAGCTTTGGCCCCCTAACTTAAATAACTCCTCTCTTTCCCTGCTGTTTATCCCTCTAATGTATCTATAGAACACAATCATATCTCCCCTCATTCTTGTTTTGTTAGGCTAAACAAGACAAGCTTCTTAAATCTCCTCTTGTAAGGTAGGGTCTCCAGTCTTCTGATCATCCTAGTAGCCCATCTCTGCACCTATTCTAGTTCAAATTTATGTTTCTTAAACAGAGGAGACCAAAATTGCACACAATATTCCAGATGAGGTCTCACCAGTGCCTTGTGTAATGGTAATAACGTTTCCATGTCTCTACAGGCAATACCTTACCTGACGCATTTTAGGATTGCATTAGCCTTTTTAATGGATCAGTGTTCACGTCGCACTCCCTGTCAGTACTTGGCCCATCCCAGGAAAGCTAATGATATAACCAGCGGATCAAATTCGGTGATGAATCTTGGTCACGTGCCGAAGAAGATCCGATACATCCCCAGTTTACAGCAAAAATTCTTGTTGTTAGTCCCTAAGTGCATGACCTTGCACTTTGCACTATTAAATTTCATCCCATTTCTATTACTCCAGTTCTCAAGGTCATTCAGATCTTCTTGTAGGATATTCCGGTCCATATGGGCAATACCTCCCAACTTTGTGTCATCTGCAAATTTTATTAACACACTCTCACTTTTTGTGCTAGAGTCATTAATGAAAATGGTAAATGATTGGTCCTAAAACCAATCCTTGAGGAACTCCACTAATAACCTCCCTGCACCTGGATATTTCACATTTCAGCATGACCCATTATAGTCTCCCCTTTAACCAATTCATTGCCCACCTTTTGATTTTCATATTACTCCCTATTTTCTCCAGTTTAACTAATAATTTTCCATGTGGAACTGTATCAAATGCTTTATATTTGTTACTTGTTTAATCTGATTGCATCAGAGCACCAGAGCTTGCTGCATTATATCAAAGATAACTCAGTTTTGGAGACAGTGGGGAAGTTAAAGTTTGTGAGAGTTTACCCTGGAAAAAAGACATCCTTATTAAGGAGAATCATCATTTTCCTATGCGGCACCCTAATTTTCAGAATTTCCCATTTCTTCTTAGAAACATGCAAGGTTAAATTACATCAAACAGTTGTTGTCTTACACGTAAAAACTGGTTTGACTTTTCTAATTAGAATCTACCTTGAATTTTATGACAAAATGTATTATATACCCATGTTGTTATATATATTTAGACATCTATAAGGCATTTGAGTTAGTCCCACATGACATTCTGATAGTCAGTTCAATATTAATGGATTAAAAACTGGTTAACTGATAGATTTCAAAAAATAACTGTAAATGGGAAATCATCAGAATCATCTGGCATGTTCCAGGTGGGGTCCAGCAGGAATCTGTTCTTTGCTAAATGCTATTCAATATCTTTATCAAAGTGCTGGAGGAAAATACAAAATTATTGCTGGTACAATTTGCAGGTAACAGAAAAAATTGCTGGAGTGTTAAATAATTGATGGTGTAAGTTATATAGAATTATCTGGATCATTTGGTAAGGCAGGCTCTTTTAATAACATGTGTTTTAATACAAATGCAAGGTCATACATTTAGGATCAAAGAATGTAGGTTACATTTACAGACTGGGACACAGTATCCTGGAATGCAGTGATACTGAAAAGGATTTAGGGGAATAATGCGACTTAGGCGATGCTGTGCTTAAGGGAACAAACATGAACCTTGAATGCATAAGGAGAGGAATAGCAAGTAGTAGCAAGGAGATGGTATTACTTTTATAGATGACATTAGTGAGACTGATACTTTGTCCAGTTCTGATGTCTAGACTTCAAGCAGGATGTTGACCAATTGGAAAGTCTTCAAAAAATTGCTACAAGAATGATTTGAGGTCTGGAAAATAATACCTTATAGTGACACACTAAAGAAGCTTAATCTACTAAATTTATCCAAGAGGAAGGTAGAAGATGATGATCATGAAAATGTGGAAGAAATTTCTGATAGTAGGTTGCTCTTTAATCTAACAGAAAAAGGCATAATGAGGTCCAATGGTTAGAAGCTGAAGCTACACAATTCAGACTAGCAATAAAGCACACATTTTTAAATAGTGAGAATAATTAACCATTGGAACAACGTATCTGGGGATGTGGTGGATTCTCCATCACATGAAGTTTTATATCAAACTGGATGTCTTTCTAAAAGATATGTTATAGCTCAAATAGAAGTTATGGCCCTGATGCAGAAATTATTAGGTGAGGTTATGAAGCCTGGGTTATACAGAAGACCAGGTTAGATGATCACAATGGTCCCTTTTGGCCTTAAAATCTATGATTCTATGAGAATTAAAATATAACGGGCTTTCACTGACCATCACTGACTTCAATGAAACTACAGTGATTTATACCTGCTGAGGATGTAGCCCTAAAATCTTATAAACTATAGGAACAATTTTACACGAGTGAAACCAGTAGTCTTGAATAAAACTGGTGGAGTGGTGAATCAGGCCCTTAGATTGTTCCTGAACTACTTAGCCACTCTGTTTTGGATTCCTGCCTGGAAGTTGTCATTCAAAAGCAGCAAAAGGATCACCAGAACTAGAGAGGATACATGCTTTCATTCTTATAAAGATTAGTTATGCAGTATATATAGAAAATTACTTCCTTCCATTTGCCATTTTGTTTACATATTTTACCTTTGAAATACAACCCAATCATTCAGTATTCCTGATCGCAAAGACACCAGACCGCACTTTCAATAAATAATTCCACTTTAATGTCAAAGTAATAATTTAGACAGATACAGTGTGCACACCTGCAAAAAAATATATGCAAGCTGGTTTACAAGCTAGAGGAACAATAAACCAATAAAAATACATCATCCAGTTAAGTCCGATGACACCAAATACTTATTATTAGAGCTTTACAAAGACTACAAAACTTCTCAGATGATTTATTTCACTGTTTCTGTCTATTTACATGATATGTTACATCAAAAAATGTACAAAATATAAAATGTATACAGACAAATGTTTCACAAACAATTTTTAAGTTGTAAACTAGGTGGACTCACTGAGATGTATTGCAGGAAGTTTTGTATATGGTAATATTGTGTGTGTTTGTATCTAAAATGGCAGGAAAAGATTTGCAAATTTGTTCAGAACACATATGTAACAAAGATCAGCTGGTTTTTTTGATCAGCTGTCAGATACATGTGCTGATGTTTTACAATAGAAACTGATCTAAGTTTTGGGGCTCCACGTCAGTCTGACTACATTCTACATGCATAAAATCAATTAGAGTTTGTACTAGGGCAATAGCACCGTGTACGGACCGCTAGATTCACTGATGCAGCTCAGTGCCATTGGAAACTGCATTGATTTCTTTGTCTTTGTTTTAAAGCAAATGACCACAGGGTGGCCACAAAGAGTTAGTAGCACCAATTACAACATCCTGAAGGTAACATCCATTTAAGTGTACAGTACATATACACAATGCCATAGCCCTTGGATTATTATTTTTTTTAATTATTTTATCCAGTTGTCTCTTGTGGCAATAGCATTTCCAATTATTCTGATCAGTTTTCATGCAATCTGTTTGTAGCCTGCCATGACAGATGCACTTAAAATTTCATTTTTTGCCCCCAGAAATGTATTGGCTTAATATACAAATTGAAACATGCTCACTCTAGCATTGATAGCTCCTGCATAGTCATAACAACTGTAAATACAGGACAAACACACGAGGTTAAAAACAGTTTTTAAGGTTTGCATTCTGTATTTGTTTGCAACATTGAGGAAATCTCAGCAAGTATAACATCTCTTAACACCAACAGGATAAAATACAATTTCTTGTTTGTTTGTTTTGATTTGTGCAAGGCTTTTTATATTTACAATACCCACCCAGTAGACTGTGCAAAACCAACCCACTTTTACAGTATAAACTCTTCCTCTTCCACAGTGGACATCACTGCTTCAGTGTTCTTTAATGCTGTTTTTTTTTCATGTACAACAATATCAATCAAAACAACATGCTTAAAATTAGAAAAAGAAAAAAAAATAAACAAATATTTGTGCTCATGCTGCATCAAGTGCATCCAGCTCTGCTGGATAAGAATTCGAAACATCTATCCTTCAAAAACTCCATTCCACAGGACTGAATGGTTCTGGGTCAGCTTTTTCAGCTTTTAGGTGATAGTGGAAGTGGGTTCTAGGTTTCTTGTATATTTCTGAGGGTAGGCAGAGCAATCTATTCACAAGATAAAAATACTATATAGCAACTGTTCTTTCTCCTATCCATTTCTTAAAAAATCATGATATACAGATATGAGGCTACTGTGTTAACTGACGTTATTTCGGTAATAAATGAAAACAAAACAGTGTAAATTACCAATGGTTTAGGAATTAAACCAACCGTAAAACTGTTCTAGAAATCTGTTTTAAGGCAGTGAAACAGCACCATAGGAAATGTTCCTTCTTCCACTGAAAAGGCTCAAACAAATGAAGCCCTAAAAAGCCTTTAGTCAGTGTTGGTTAATAATTGGTATAAAACTGTAAAGGAGTGGGTAGGTGGTTAAAAAAGACCTTTGTGGTAAAAACAACTTTATAAAATCGGTGACTTGTACACTAAAAACTTCATGGAGAGTGTCACTGTGACCATGGCAATTAAGAATTAAATTGGCACTTATCCAGCATATCACAGTAGTGTTTTCTGGTGATAGCACAATACTGTTTGTGCTTATTGAGTTACTATCATCATCTTTGATTCATTTTGGAATGGGCAGTAGTGTACGACAAACACTACTGTAGTCCTGTGACCAGCACCATGTGGCACAACAGAGGTTAGAAGAGGAGCAGAAGACTGCATTGCTAATGCAGCACCTCAGAGAAAAGTAAAGGAAAAAAACAAAAAGTTTGTACTGTAAACTTTTAGAGAGAGAGTTAGAGAGAGAGAGAGAGAGAGAGAGAGGAAAAACAAAAAAAGGTTCCAGTTTGGCTAACACATGTGCAATCTGCTTAGTTGCCCTCCATTTAGGGCCCTTTCCAGTTGATTAATGGAGTCTTACTCGGCTCCACTCATATTGAAATGCCTTGAAATTAAACAAATTCAAGCTTTCCACTTCAATTTTAATTCCTGACTTTGCAGAGTTAAGCCTCCTGCCTACCTACAACACGCCGCTCTTGTTCAGGGACCTCAGTGTGCTGCTTTAATCCTGGCAGTAGTTAGTGGCAATAGATTTTACTATAATCCTCTACCCAGGTTTGTCCCCTCTAGAGAGTTGATTCAAGAGAGGAATCCAAAATGTCATCATGGTGGCTGGTGCTATCACTGTCACAGCTTTGTGCACTCGAGTAATTGGCTGCTTCTTGGAGCCTCATTAGCATATTCATCTGAAAAAGAAGGTAATGTTTATGTAATCACTGTAGCATTTAATGCAGCAAGGGCTATGTCAAAAATTAATTAAACTACTCTGGTGTATGCAGTGTGCTGGTACCCAGAGTGAGAGAAATGGCAAAATGATTTCAGAACGGGCAAAATATCAGTGGCTCCTCCTGGCTGCCACCCCTTGCCCAGCCTTCGGTGCTTTAAATAAAAGCATGAGTGTAAAGGTCTAATAAGCCATAGGGATATAATAACTCTGCAATTCAGTGGTGTGAATGGCTGCAGCTGCAACACAGACAGGCAAAGGAAACAGTATCACAGCTGGACATCTGGGCCCGTATTTGGAGACAGTCAAGCCTCCAATAATGTTTTGGCTGCTGTAGGCAGAATAAATTGGAAAAGCAACTGCAAACATGATCACACGAACACACACCCTCCGAGAGAGAGTGTGTGTGTGGGGAGGTGGACTGTAGCCAGCTGCTACATACAAGAGCACCATCTGCTGCTCAAGAGCTGACTTCAGCAAAAGGAACAGTAACAGAAAACAGCAGACTATAGTCCTGAGGAAAGGGGAAGCATAACATAATTCATTTGGGTATTATTGGAGCTTGTAGCACATTTGATAAATCATCAGAAGCCAACGCCTGCCCTAGAAAATTGCTCAGATTCTTGACGACAAACTCAGTATAATGATGATAATTTTATTTATAAAGCAGCACTCATGCCAAGGTCCTCAGAGCACTGAAAAACATTAGCCCAATTTTAAGATAGTGACACATTTTAGGTGAACAGTTCAGGTTCCTTATAACAAAATATATGCAATGAAAGGTAAGAAGAGGGAAGGTATTTTATTTGTGTGAACCCTTTTCAAGTTTGTTCAGGAATACTTGAATGTCTACACTTCATGGCTACACCATTCACAGATAATTCTATAAGCTTTGAACATTGTACTGGGGATACCACGAAGCAGCTTTAAGCTCCAAATTCAATGTGCGTGTTATATACCCTATGTATGAGACAAATACTGATGTGTGTGCGTATGTGTTACATTCTATGTATGAGACAAATTCTGAAATGCCTTGTTATCTCACACAGCGTCAATGGAGCTGATTCATCACCACTGAAATCAGTATCGACCCTCCCATTGGCTTCATGGATGCAGGTTCAAGCCTATATGCAGTGCAGATGCCACACTTTTGACACATGGGGGATGGGGGAGGGTCCAGACAGCAAAGATTCATTATGGTGGGACACAACTTCTGCACTACAATGGAGGGATAGCTCAGTGATTTGAGCTATGGCCTGTTAAACCCAGGGTTGTGAGTTCAATCCTTGAGGTAGGGATCTAGGGCAAAAATCTGTCTGGGGATTGGTCCTGCTTTGAGCAGGGGGTTGGACTAGATGACCTCCTGAGGTCCCTTCCAGCCCATATACTCTATGATTTCTGCACACTGCTATGTGGCATGGATAGTGAATGGGCTGGGAGCATGGCCAGAAGATTCACTCGCAGTGCAAATCCTAAAGGGTCAAAGGACCACTCCTGTATTTGTCAGGTGGGAAACAGTGAGTCACATAGGCTAATTCCCTACATTATCTGGAGATTCATGGTCTGATTTCTGGGAAATGAACGCTCTGAGCACTTGTGGGGACTCAGGAGTAATATTAAATATATAATTGGTATATTCTTTACATTTCAAATTCTAGGTTGAAACACAGACTACAAAGGTAAGTAAAAAGCTTTGTTCTTACCAAGGGATCCCCTTCAGTGTCGCTTTGTGGAATGTGCTTGGAGGTGGTTCCTTCTTGTGCAGATGCGTAACCCTCAAACCCAATGTCTTCTGGTCTTAACTGAAGTAATGATGGCCATTCATGCTGCACAGGTGCGGAGCTCCATGGGTAAGTATCTGCTACCCACTTTGAGGGATCCTCCCATGGCGCTCTTTTACCATACATCTAAATTATGGATATAATACATTTAGTTATTTAGACTGCACACTTTTCAATACGTTACTATTTATAATACCAGACAAATGGAATCCAACGCATCTAAACAACTTTTGCAGCAGAGACTCAACTTTCAAAAGTGCTCAGCACCCACAGCGATGGCCCAAAGCTCAGAAGAGCTCACTTCCAACAGGCACCTAAATGAAATGGCTGTGTATTGAAAAGTGCTCCACATCTTACAACTCCCAATGAGAACAAAAAGAAATTGAGAACAGTAGAAGCTACAGGTTTTGATAAAATGTGAAGTGGAACTTTGGGAAAGGAGAGAGAAATATCACAAGAAGTTGTTTGCAAGGTAGTTGGAAAGTACAAACCCATTTTAAGTGACATTATTTCCACGCCTCTTGCAAAGAAGAGGGACATAGGAAATAGAAACAGAGATGTTCCATTTATACAGGGCTTAGGGAAGCTGTAGCAGAACAATAAGAAAGCCTCTTTAATCTTGAGTAGGGAGTACCTTCAGTAGGTGAAGAGAAGAAATTCACCTAGCTCTTTTTATCTCCAGCTTACTCAGAGAGTCCTATTTTCTCTGAGTGTCACAATGATCTTTTCTGGACTCAGATTATCTTGGTCCTATTGCTTCTTATAAGAACATTTATTTTCTGTATAGTGTAGGCCCGGCAGTATAAAAAAATAAAGCAAGTCTGTAGGACTTCTGTGTATTATTATTATGTTGTTGTTAAACAATTCAGAATGTCTAAGAACTGGGCTGGTTTGTGGCAATCCAATAATTTCTTCTGGAGGCTGCCATCTTGTGCTTCAGAATTGAAGTTTTCATTTAAAAAAAAGTCTGTAGCCCTCATGGTTGTGAAAATGAATTGAACTACTCCTGTTGATATCAAGTTTATTTTTGTTTTAACTCTGCAGTTTAATGAGGATTGTTTAAATGTTAACTATTTCACTGCTTATTAATGTACTCAAGAAACAAATGACATAACCATATTATTTTGGAAAGTGTAGGGGACAATTTCCCGGTGCAAGTGCTGGAGGAACCAACTAGGGGCAGAGCTTTTCTTGACCTGCTGCTCACAAACAGGGAAGAATTAGTAGGGGAAGCAAAAGTGGATGGGAACCTGGGAGGCAGTGACCATGAGATGGTCGAGTTCAGGATCCTGACATAAGGAAGAAAGGAGAGCAGCAGAATACGGACCCTGGACTTCAGAAAAGCAGACTTTGACTCCCTCAGGGAACAGATGGGCAGGATCCCCTGGGAGAATAACATGAAGGGCAAAGGAGTCCAGGAGAGCTGGCTGTATTTTAAAGAATCCTTATTGCGGTTGCAGGAACAAACCATCCCGATGTGTAGAAAGAATAGTAAATATGGCAGGCGACCAGCTTGGCTAAACAGTGAAATCCTTGCTGATATTAAACGCAAAAAAGAAGCTTACAAGAAGTGGAAGATTGGACAAATGACCAGGGAGGAGTATAAAAATATTGCTCAGGCATGCAGGAGTGAAATCAGGAAGGCCAAATCACACTTGGAGTTGCAGCTAGCAAGAGATGTTAAGAGTAACAAGAAGGGATTCTTCAGGTATGTTAGCAACAAGAAGAAAGTCAAGGAAAGTGTGGGCCCCTTACTGAATGAGGGAGGCAACCTAGTGACTGAGGATGTGGAAAAAGCTAATGTACTCAATGATTTTTTTGCCTCTGTCTTCACAAACGAGGTCAGCTCCCAGACTGCTGCACTGGGCAGCACAATATGGGGAGAAGGTGACCAGCCCTCTGTGGAGAAAGAAGTGGTTCGGGACTATTTAGAAAAACTGGACGTGCACAAGTCCATGGGGCCGGATGCGCTGCATCCGAGGGTGCTAAAGGAGATGGCGGATGAGATTGCAGAGCCATTAGCCATTATTTTTGAAAACTCATGGCGATCGGGGGAGGTCCCAGATGACTGGAAAAAGGCTAATGTAGTGCCCATCTTTAAAAAAGGGAAGAAGGAGGATCCGGGGAACTACAGGCCAGTCAGCCTCACCTCAGTCCCTGGAAAAATCATGGAGCAGGTCCTCAAGGAATCAATTATGAAACACTTAGAGGAGAGGAAAGTGATCAGGAACAGTCAGCATGGATTCACCAAGGGGAAGTCGTGCCTGACTAACCTAATTGCCTTCTATGATGAGATAACTGGCTCTGTGGATGAGGGGAAAGCAGTGGATGTGTTATTCCTTGACTTTAGCAAAGCTTTTGATACGGTCTCCCACAGTATTCTTGCTGCCAAGTTAAAGAAGTATGGGCTGGATGAATGGATTGTAAGGTGGATAGAAAGCTGGCTAGATCGTCGGGCTCAACGGGTAGTGATCAATGGCTCCATGTCTAGTTGGCAGCCAGTTTCAAGCGGAGTGCCCCAAGGGTCGGTCCTGGGGCCGGTTTTGTTTAATATCTTTATTAATGATCTGGAGGATGGTGTGGACTGCACTCTCAGCAAGTTTGCCGATGACACTAAACTAGGAGGCGTGGTAGATACACTAGAGGGTAGGGATCGGATACAGAGGGACCTAGACAAATTAGAGGATTGGGCCAAAAGAAACCTGATGAGGTTCAACAAGGACAAGTGCAGAGTCCTGCACCTAGGATGGAAGAATCCTATGCACTGCTACAGACTAGGGACCGAGTGGCTAGGTAGCAGTTCTGCAGAAAAGGACCTAGGGGTCACAGTGGATGAGAAGCTGGATATGAGTCAACAGTGTGCTCTTGTTGCCAAGAAGGCTAACGGCATTTTGGGCTGTATAAGTAGGGGCATTGCCAGCAGATCGAGGGACGTGATCGTTCCCCTTTATTCGACATTGGTGTACTGTGTCCAGTTTTGGGCCCCACACTACAAGAAGGATGTGGAAAAATTGGAAAGTGTCCAGTGGAGGGCAACAAAAATGATTAGGGGTCTGGAGCGCATGACTTATGAGGAGAGGCTGAGGGAACTGGGATTGTTTAGTCTCCAGAAGAGAAGAATGAGGGGGGATTTGATAGCAGCCTTCAACTACCTGAAGGGGGGTTCCAAAGAGGATGGAACTCGGCTGTTCTCAATGGTGGCAGATGACAGAACAAGGAGCAATGGTCTCAAGTAGCAGTGGGGGAGGTCTAGGTTGGATATTAGGAAACACTATTTCACTAGGAGGGTGGTGAAGCACTGGAATGCGTTACCTAGGGAGGTGGTGGAGTCTCCTTCCTTGGAGGTTTTTAAGGCCCGGCTTGACAAAGCCCTGGCTGGGATGATTTAGTTGGGAATTGGTCCTGCTTTGAGCAGGGGGTTGGACTAGATGACCTCCTGAGGTCTCTTCCAACCCTGATATTCTATGATTCTATTATGAAGATGACTCATTTGAATGTCTCAAGTGGTTGGGACTTGGCATGTGGACGGAGCATGAGAGAATACCACTATTTTTTTTTCTTATTAGTTTCCCCCTGGTCTAAATAAGCTGCACTAATCTTGGTGTGACTGTGCCTATCAGATGTTCAGTACTCTATCTCAGTTAGTTTAAGCAGTTTTAGAAAACAGAGATGCTTCAATAATGCAAGATTCCAAACCTCACCCTATGAAGCAGAAATTTCAATGAGTGTTGGCGGTATCACTAGATTAAATTTTGGCAAAAGTTACCTTTCCATACCATATTGATCGCAGTGTTGCTGTAGCCTTGTTGGCCCCAGGATATTAGAGAGACAAGGTGGGTGAGGTAATATTTTTTATTGGACCAACTTCTGTTGGTGAGAGAGACAAGCTTTCGAGCTACACAGAGCTCTTCTTCAGAATTCCGAATTCCTCAGAGCTCAAAAGCTTGTTTCTGGCCCAATAAAAGATATTATCTCACCCACCTTGTCTCTCTTTCCATACCATTCTCTTCATAGCATGCAAAGTTGTAGTGAACAAAAAGAGAACAAAAGGGGCCAAACAGAAAATGGAAAAAAAATCAGGTAGAAGGATTACTTCAAGTAAGTGGGGAATAGTTAGGCTCATAGAAAGAAAAGAGAAGAAAAAATGCCACAGACAAGATGGGAATAAGAGAGACATTAGAGCAGACAGAAACTCAGGGAGCAGTAAGACAAAAGAGAGTCAGATTCTCATGTCCACCAACCCTTGGTGCAAAGTGCCTTAAATTGGCTGAAGAAGCCCAATGGAAAATAACCGTAGTATGGGGGAACTGTCTTCTGCAACAGCTGCAGTCCACACCCTTGGTGTATGCGGAAATATGGGTTATGTTGGGAAGAGTTGTGGATGGGATAGGAGGGGGTGTGGTGGACATCTCTGCTATGCCTGTTTGTCCACTAGTATAAAGTCCTTGAGGTCCTTCACCTGTGAAGCCCGCAGTCGCAATGGATGTGGTGGCCCTGAATACCTTCTCTTCATTACATACAAGTGAAGAGAAGAACAAGACTGTATCCTCCTGTCACAGACAAGCACGATCTCAAGAAAAGCCAAATCATGCATCAGGAAGTGCAGGAGAAAAGGGGTCTGGCACTAACTTCTAGAATTCTACCCCCTTTTTTTTGTCACTGTGGCACAACACATCACTCTGACATATTTCTGAAACGTATCCTGGAAAAAGCTTACAAAAACAACACAAAACTATGCTTTTTCTTTTGAAGCAAGACACAGTGTTTCTACCTACATACCTGAAGTCCCTCTCTCACGGCCTCCAGAAGATATGGCACCAAAGAATAGTTCCAAAGGTCTGTGAACCACACTCTGGAGCCATCAACATCCATGGGGCAGGGGAGGAAAAGGCGAGGACCTGAGAAGAAAAGTTTTTTGTTAAATAACATGAACTGTGAGGAAAAAAAATCTCCAAAAAATGTGAGGGAAAATGACTACCGCGGCAAACTTGAATAAAGAGAATGTTTATCCAGCACTACAATTATTGGCTAGTACTGAGTTCAGCTTTATGTTATTAAAAAATTAGAGTCCTTCTTCCCCTCTTCTAATGCCTGAACTACACTGGAACGTTTTAGTGGCAAAGCTAAAGGGATGTGATATTTTGCCAGCATATCTGTGCCATCATAAGCCTTAATGAAGACACAGTTACACCAATAGAAAAGTGCTTATGCCAGTATAATTTATTTCACTTTGCTGAACCCAAATTAGCTATATCATCACAAACTCTTTTATACCAGTGTAACTGTGTCTACATTAACTATACTACATAGATAAGCAGCAAAGCTTTTAAGTGTAGACATGGCCTTAGTGTGGAGATTCTTGGAACAAGTCAACGTTTCCATGGCAAACACTGTATATGAAACTCTTTAGTCAGGAAGTAAGGATGGAAATCACAGGAGAACAGACTTCCTCGTACGATTTCTATTACTTCCTTGTTTCAGTCAGGTTGGCAAGGCATGCTTCCCATGGTGATTTAATGTTTTCAGTATCAGCTTAAACACAAGATTTTACAAAGTCAATTCAATTTCTACAAACTTTATGAAAGGTTCAGGCTTTACCCTTATTTCACTCTGCTGGCTGAGAAAAGGCTAGCAGCACATTGCCTTGCAAGGACTCACCAATGGTCACATCTGAGGAGCTGTGCGTTTCTAAAAAGCTGTTGAGATGATGCCATGTCTTAGGGATCCAGTCAATAATCTTGATGAGGTCATTATTGCGCATGTTCCTTTCTATTTCTGTCTCAATCAGTTTCCTTCTCAGATACCTGCCCAGGAAACCTTTTACAGGTTCCGTGTGATTAGCACATAGCACCCACCTAATGTGAGAAGAGAAAACATCAAATAATCATACAATGAATAAACATTGCCTTCCATCTTAAACACAGAAACAATGACATCAGTGTTTAATACTGGTTATCTACTAAAATAAAAGTCAATTCTAATAATAAATCGTAAGGATCTATTTAGTTCGTATCACAAGGGTGATCTCTTTGCCTGTGCTTCCTGAGCCAATAGAAATCCAGTATGTTATAAGGTGGGCATATTACTACAATCCTGAACACCGTGCTGCCATGGCAGGGGGTAGCAGGAATGATATTCTGTCTGTTTTGCCAGGTGGAAAAGTGCCACACAGACAGGTGTCATTAAGGGACAGGGGGAAGAGGCAAACAGCTGTAGAGTGTGATTAAATTCAAGATGGGTGTTGGTGGATAAGCTGGAATGAGAGGAAGGAAATCTGAGAGGCCTGTACAGAGGAAAGACAAAGAAAGTGTATTTACCTGAAATTGTGATGCAGCTCTAGATTTGGTGATGAAGTAACCCCTTGGTTCATTGTTCCAATAATATAGGGACTAAAAAGAGAAAAGTAATACATTTAGTGGGAAGCGTCACTGCCACAGAATCCATCCAGGAGGCAGTTCAGAAAATATTCTTTACTTTTATCTTGCCTGGAGTCATCTTTGATAAAAGAATGTGCAGATGCTGTTTAGTCTCAAATTCCAATGATTTCTGGCCAGACTTATTTTTAGTATATTTGTTCTTGCATTTTTTTTCCTTTTCACACTTATGTTTTACTAGTGGTCATAAGCACTAAAACTAAATGAAGCAAAAGAGTGCTCACATACCTCATTATCTGTGGCTTGTTTAGTGGTTTTACTTCCAGGAACCAGTGAATCTTAGGAGCACTGAGCCATAATACACAAATATTTTATGAAGGGAAGCCCCTACGACAGGCACTTTTATAGCAGAAATAGGCTGATTAATAGGCCGCTAGCAGTTTTCAAATACCTTAATTACTTTTTATTCTTTTTTGACCATGAAAGACAGCCAGTCAATCACATTCTCCTTTGGTACTATGTCTAAACAACTTTTCCACTCTTCTACAGCCAGGTAAATTTTTGGCTCACAGTATAACTGTTGGAAACAAGAGGTCTACCACAGAAACAGCAGCTACTGTATAGCATACTCCATGGGTCCATATTGTATCCAGGAAAACACCTTATGGATAACTACCATCATGCATCTGTTGTTACCCTCCCACAAGCTCTGGGAGCTTCTCCTGGAACTAATATGCCTGTGTTCCATGACACAGATGTGTTCTATAGCAGTGGAAGGGGTTAAGATCCTGATTCAGCAAAGAATTTAAGTACATGCTTAACTTTAAGCATATATTTAAATCTCATTAAAGTCAGAGGGCATTAAAATATGCTTTAAGTGAAGTACACACAAGTGCTTGGCTGAATAGGGATGGAATTACTCACATATTTTAAGTTAATCACATGCTTAAGTACTTTGCTGAATCGGGATATAAGAGATACAAGGGTTCCTTATAACATATTTCATCATATCACACTAATAAAGAGCTTGTAATTGTTTTAAGCACAGAAGGCAGGGAAATGAAGAGCTGCTACCTACCATGTATTATATTTACAATTGAGGAAACCATTGAAGATATCACTCAAAGAACCAATATGGTGGAGGTTATCAAGAATTATTACTACAGGGAGATCAGCACCACTATTGTCAGCACTGCACTGCTCAGCCAGGTTAGCTAGGTATTGACGCAGATCCTTCAGCAAAAGAAAACAAATAAAACAGGAAAGTAAAATGCATTTAGTCACAGTAGGGGGGAGATTTTCAAAGGCACAAAGGGGAGTTAAGAAATTTCCCCCAATGCTTATATCTCAGCTGAGTTCCCATAACCACAAAGACTTGTTTCTCAGCCAGGGCAAAACTGAAGTTTCAGCTGTATATAGAGAAAATATATAGCTGACATGGTGTAGTGAAAACAAAAATGTAGGTAAGTCTCACTAAAGGTAAGGTAATAAAGTTTGTGTCCTGCTATCCTGAGGATATATTTCTCAGCAATCCAGCAATAAAAAACTCTATATTCCATTACCAATAGGCTGAGCTATTTAGTTCACAAAGTAGTCCCACACTTTTAGGAACACCAAATTAACTTAATTCAAACAAGAGATTGTTATCTCATCTAGTTCACTGCTCCCATTCCCTCAGATTTCTGCCCATCATCTTCATCCCCTCACAGACCACCTGTTCAACGCTTTGGGGCTGCTATCTCACATGCCACAATAAAGTGTATTGCTTACGTTTATTTCTCTCTGTCAGCTAGCTACCTGGGGAGTAATGGTGGATTTGGGGTTGGGGAAGAATGGTCTGTAATCATGACAATTTATTTTGCTCTTGATGGTTTACTGTTCCTCAGTCTCCTGGCTAGTCCAGCTTTTCAGCTGTCCCTTGTGTGCAGTCTACAGTATAGCACACAACACAGCAACGAGAGCACGGCTCAGCCTGCATTTCCCTAGGATAGGGATTTTTCATTTCCTGCATCACTGAGAATTTGCCCCAGTGATTTCACAAGATCGGTACACAGTCTCTCAACAATCCTTGTTGTGAATCCCTGGCACTTTGGACAGAAATCTCATTCTCATTATACTAGAACATTTCCTGGATCAGTGATAGCGAAATCGTATTTTTTTAAAGTAGAAACGTGTTATTTGTTGCTTTGGGAAATGGTTGTATAAATATATTAGGCTTTTTCTGAACAGGTGCCTTGAGAGAAAATCATGAGTTTCTTCCTAGTTTAGCTCTGTAGCACCATCTGTATTGTTCAAGCACACATGACAAGGATTTCTTTTTTCTTTCTTATAAACTATAAGGTTTACTTGTAAAATAATCTTAGCACAAAATAAAGAAAAAAAAATGAAAGAAAAATACACACATACACTTGCCAGTGAGCCAGCAAAGTGACATTTTTGTGAATCACTCACATTACATATTCTACATATATAATTCTGATAAATTTGAGCACTTCTCTGTCAGAGTGAATGATATCACAAATCATTTGCATAAAGGGAATGAAAATAGGTGTTTATGACGGAATAGTTCTCTTATCTCCTCTATGGTCCGTGTGGACTTTCTTCTCAATCTATGCTAACAGTGCTGCGTGCTCATCACAAAACTCTAAGTAAAGATATTGATTTTCGGATTATTATTTTTTCGTTAGCAACCAATTTACACACCCCGTTTAGGGTACCAGGTAGCTTGTGAGTTACTTGTTGATAATTTGGTTATTCTGTGAATACCTTGGCAATCTGAGGTATATAGTTAATTCAACCTGCATGTTGTCTGAAGCGTGGGCTAAATATTGTATTATCAGCACCACGACTGTAGAATTCAGGAGAAAACAGCAGCAACCAGAACTTATGTAGTGCTAAGCAAGGAATTGAACCCAAATGCTAATCCAATGCCCTGTGCACTAGATCATCCTTTCTACTCCCATCCAGTAATTTTGGTCTACCATTTTCACTATCAAAATGCAAGTCAGACTAGCACTACATTGTACAGCTAATGTCTTCAAAAAGAAGTTACTGGAACTCCATGGACTAGAGTTAAAATGGCATTTTATTCTGCCTTTAGCAGCTTGTGAAGTGGAAGTCCTACAAGTGCCCCAAAATTCAGCTCTTCTACACAATATCATGATGCACCACTCAGATTACAAAGAGCTGTGGCTGCATGTTTCACTCTGATTAAAGGTTCAATCACAATAGGAAAACACAAAAAACAGGGAATTGTGTAAATTAGCAGGACTAACTCTTGCTCATCAGTACAAATCAGGCAATGAATTTGTCATTTTTAATTGTAACTTACCTTGCTTGATTTGTGATCTACATTAAAAGTAGCAATTGCATCCTCAGTTTTTTTCCTGCCCAATTTAGTTATTATGTATTCAGCCAGTCTGTTGGCTAAATAGGTCTTTCCAGTGCCACTGGGTCCTGACAGGATGATTCTGTGATGCTCCATCAGCAAATTAAAGTACCGTTGGGTAATTGGCTTAGGAATTAGTGTATCAAACACAAAACTGTCCAAACTGTTTTCTTCCACTCCTGGGAATAAAAGAAAAAAATAACTTGTCTCCATTCAAGGTGATGTCTAAAATAAGTATAAATTCAGCATGGTGTCTGCTGACATCCATGCCATGCTGAGAGCAGGTAAATGCTCCTATCTAATTCCTATCTTCTCCAGGGTTTGAATACCGTTGGAATTGCACAGATACTTCCTAAGGGGCAAAAAGATAAAACAGCAGCAGCACCACCACCATGAGTAGATGGGTGGGAGCAACAAAATCAAAGTAAATGTGAAGAGAAGGCTCTGTGAGGCAGAGATGTGTGTTTCAAACGTTAAAGGCATTTAAGATAAAAAGGTCGAAGTGACAGCAACAAGGGTTACCAGCAGAAAGATATCACATCAAATGACACGGTCCTTTTGAAGGCCCCCAACATAGAAAAACCCTACAGCTCTTTGAAATGTTTAAAGTCCCTATTGTGGAGCAGGATGGCGTAGAAACATTTCTGAATGGAATTCTTGAATTTTGTCCCTGGTCTCTATTAAAGCCATTTGTCCTTTGCTGTGACTTTAAAGTCAGTGAGAGAAGAGAAATATTTTTCGTATTATTTAATATTTATACTTCTACAGCACCAAGAAGCCTGAATGTGCTAAGTACTCTACAAACACATACAAAGAACTTACAGGACAAATGACTTCCTGTGTTGGACACGGGGTGAGAAAAAGTCAGGTTTAAACGATAAATAGAGGGGTTGGGAGGGATATAACAAAGAAGAGAAAAATATCTGAAAAAACATAGTTGTGGTTTTACCTTTCAGGTTCACGGTGATGATGTTATTATCTCCAACCAGATATCCACAAGGCAGCAGTTCAGGCACTTCCAGGCTATGGGCTCTGATTAAATCCCCTATACAGTAGCTAGCAATACAATCGGAGCTTAAACCCAGGCTAGTAGCTGGATCCACTCGGAAGATATATTCCTAAAATTATACATACATACAAGATATAAAAGTATGCATGGTCATCTCACGTGAGACAAGTTATTAAAACACATACTTTAATGTAGGTGGAGGCCCATTTAAAGAAGACTCAGATCTATGCATTTCAGAGAAGCATATGTAAACTTAAACAAGAGCAAAAGCATTAACTTAGGCTATATGAAAAAAATGAATTAGGCAAGTCAAAACTAACCAAGTAGGGAGAGTTTATGGGAGACAAAGAATATGGAATTAACTGATCAACCAACTTTTAAATGTCCCACCTTAAAGAGACGTCTAATTACTCCATCTAAAACGTCCCATTTGGTTTTCCCACTAACCCCAATGGATCCTATCAAATATGCCTGCGTCTTTTGATCCTATAAAGAGAAAGAGAGAGAATTCACAAACTGGACTAAAATTGGAGGAAATCAGTTTGCCACATGCATTTAAAGATCTCTAAGATACAATGCTACAACTTAGTAATTAACACATAAAAATAGGTATAAGTAATGTTAAGGTGGACACTTCAGTCTTACTTCATGCCATTGTCCACCTATTATTTTAATTATATTGTTATATATGTGGAAATAAAGTACATTATATAGATCACACATAGCTCTAAGGTTTTTCCTGTATTTAGGGTTACATGCATGAGTTAAACATCAATGGTTGGCATTTGCTTCATGGGATAGTACAAAGCTGCCTTATCGCAGGACAGAATCTGGACCTAGCAGTATAAAAATACTGAATTGTGACCAAGTAAGCTCCTATCCCTTCACACTGAGTCACTTAACTTCAAAGTAGTCATACTGATTTCTTTTCTTTAAGAAATCTATGGTTGAAACTATATTATACATTTTTGACTTTGAGCTAACATTTTTAGCTTAGTTGTTTGGGACCATCTGTGCAAAAGTGATGTAGACTTGTGGTGGCACCTGAGCGATAAAAATAAAGTAAGACTCATTGTATACAAATACAGGTTGCACTATATTAAAAAGATTTTTGGAACATAAAACATCAGATCATGAGGATATGATTCAAAATTGATTAATTTGGACATCTCAATTTTGTCCACATGAGGAGCATACTTGCAACTTGCCAAGGGCTATACCTAAATTACAACGACCACCCCTTTTAACAGAAGCCCATCTGAAGAGACTACAGGTCCCAGTATGCAATACTCCAACTTAAACTGAGTCAGACTAGTAGTCTGTCTGAGCCTTCATAAAAGCAGCAATAGGCCATAATGCAGAAGATTGTGGGGACTGCATTTGACAATGCCTGGATTAGATAAAAAATATAGGAAGAAAGGATAAAAGAAAAAGGGTGTATGTTGAATGTTTGACTTTCAGTCCCTGACTGAAAATAGTGCAACTTGCTCAGCTATAATGGTGGTATTTACTATATCTGTGATTCTAGGACTTCAGGAAAATGAACGTACCTTGGATCGACCATAGCCCTTGCTTATGGTGACTATAATTTTAACACTGTGGCCTTCTTTGGGGAGGGCTCCATCTGTGACATCATCCAGTAAAATATCTACAACACAAGAAGCAAACATATTTTATAGAATGTGATTAATCTAAGAAGTGATATAAGCTTTGTTTTACTTGTTATTTTAATGTTTGTTGCAAGGTCTTTAGTAAGAAAGGCCACTATCACAACAATAGCAGTATGATCACTTTAATTACTACTTACTTCTCCTCCATTTCTGTTGGAAATGAAAAAGTAATGATTTGTCAGCTGATGAAGGCAATCATTCCTAATAAGCTTTGGTTGTGTGTATCCTGAGTTGAGGCCCTATACATTCCGTTAGCTACAATACATTTTTTTCTTCGCTTTTCTTACTGGAGTGTGTTCAAAACTACCATGGATCCATGTGACAACCTAGTTTAAACCTCATATTATGTAGAAACATAACCTTTGGCTATCCACCTTGCCCTTTAAAATGCTGTCAGTTGAAAAATAGCAAATCCTGAAGCCAAAACTCTTGCTGCTGTAAGTCCATTGGGTTTTACCTTCCCTTCCCAACAGACTTTACCTTACATCGATGAAGCATAGTCACATGGAAGAGTCCCTCTTTCCTCATGATGCAGCTTCTAGAGCTGCATTCCCTTATTGTTCTTTTCATGTCATCAACTTCCTTGATCAGAAGGAAGAGGAACTTGCCCAGGAAACTGCTTTGTATTCAGTCTGGACTCACTCAGTGTCCAGCCACTTCTCTGATGATAGGGTTGCAATGCAGGACTTCACAGGGGTCTTGGAGGTAGAGAGAATCTCCATCTTCCCCTAGACATCTGTTTCTTGACCTGCCTCTTCACCAGCTCCTTCAACAGGGCTCCTGTTAGGTGCTGAGGCCATAATATTCCTGCAAGGAACCCAAATTGCTCTTTCCCCAATAATTTTTTAGCATAGCATGAAGGCTTCCACTCTTGTGGGCTTTTCACTAACTGTCTGAATAATTCAAAATCTCCATTCTTCCCCATCCTAGCTTGCCTTGCCAATGGAGCAGACTCCAGTTAGGGCTTCATTAGTTTCACGTGTTGCAGCCCCCAAGCATGCTTAACTGGACCATAGCTCCAAAGCCTTGGGTTAATAACCTCTTGGTCTCTACAGAAGTACCAGAAGATTTGATGGTGGAAACTTCCCACACTTGCAAGCTTCCTGCTGCCATAGCAAAATGATATGCAGTGTTTAGATTGGAATGGGTACACGTTTGAATGGGATCTTCCTCTCCTCCATGTGCCTCAGCCTTGTTAGTTCTTATAATCAGAAGTAATCAGCTTGCATACTAGAAGAGCATGTATCAATAGCACACACAGAATTATACACAGTCTATAGTATTTTTTTGCTATATGAGGCAAGTCTCATCTTACACGGGGGTTCCGTTCCGCAGTTAGCGCGTAAAGCGAAAACTGCGTATAGTGAAACACTCATTGAGCTCAATGGCAGGCAGAATCGCCCGCACTACAGATGCAGTTTTTATATTGTTGTTTTTCTTTTTCCCCCCATTTTTGCCGACCGCGCAAAGCTGAATTCGCGCATGTTAAATGCACCTAAGATGCAACTTGCCTGTATCTGACTTAACAGAACTCTAGATTTAGTCAGAACCAAGAGATCTGGAGCTGCAATTTCCGGATCTATTCATGAAAAAGTTTCTAAGTTCAGTACTATTGAATGGACCACTGCTCTGGTATTGAGGGCTTCCTCCCATGGGGGAGGAAGCACAATAAGACTTTTCCTTCCTGGTACTGAATGAATGTGTTTGCAGTAGAAGAAACTTCATGCCATGTCCAGGGACAACACAGCCTCATCTATTCAGTGAGTTAATCCAGGCAATAAAATGGCTGGCGTGTAAAGAAAAACATGCTGATTTTCATATAAAATATAAAATTAAACCAGAAGAGAAGCTCAAATACCCATGTAATCAATGACTGGCAAGATAATATGACTGACTGCCAACTCAAATTATTGTCAGGCAGTTTGGCACATCCCCAGCTGTACTATTGCCCAGACTCCATCTATAATTATTAGCCACACTGTTATTGCTTCCAGAGATTGCATTATACTTTCTACAGATGTGCATTACTGATGGTTTCTCTGCTTCTGCTATGCTCATCGTTTTAACAGTTGAGACAGTACTCCTGTTTCTTGGCCACTTTATGCAGTGAGTGCAGAAAGCTTACAGTAGGGAGATTGGGATTATCTATTCTCAGACACTACGGTATTGTATAATGTATGAATGTTCAGAACCTAAATCCTGGTTGCTTTTCTACATGGGGATTCCCACAGAAGTCAATAAGAAGATTTAGTGAGCAGAGCAGGATTTGGCCCTACAGTAAATGGTAAATGGATTGATCTGGACCCGACAGTATATGGAAAGAAAAAAAGGTCATCCCAACCTAGACTACATATCTACCTTCCACAACAAATTACTAAAATCTAACTCTAAACAGTGTTCACTTTCCTTCCTGATTGCAGAAATGGTGCATTCTTAAGGAATCCGCAGGAAATGAACAATACAATATCTGTAGATAAAAGGGAAAGTTTTAGCAACTACTCTCACATTTGTCCCACAAAGACCCATATTTCAGCAGTTCTTTGACACCTGTTCTACAATGGTGCCCTTCTTATCAAATATCAACCTGCAGCATACAAAAATCAAAGAGAAACATTGCTAGGAGCTAGGAACATACTGTGTGGAGGATAAATAATCTGATATTACTATTCTCTGACTTCTAAAGCCAAATTTTCAAAAGAGATCACCAAAACTACTTGTGAGGTTCATGTGCAAATACCCAGTAGCACACGAAAACCTGAGGTTTATGTGTACAAATCAATGCATGTGTAGTTTCAGAAGGCACATTTGAAATATGGACCTTTAAGAAAATAAAATGAAAGAAAAATACATTCATGTTAATCATGTATATATATGTATTATTCACCTGACGTAACAGAGTCTGTGATATTCAAGTTGTTCAGAGAAAGCCCTAATGATTGCCGTGATGAAGAGGAGGATGTGCTGCTTGAAGACTCAGAAGATGGTCGAGCCGGCTTTCCGGTGTTTCCAGTCTCTGCCTTTAAGCGATCATTTTCAGCTTTCAGTATCTCAATTTCATTCTAAAACAAAAAGAAATCAGTATAAAAACATGGGAGATTTTTGTCTCTGAAAACCATTGAGCACTGGGTGGTTGTTCAGGCAGCTTGCTGCTCACCAGCACAAGCTAACTGGTTTAGCAGCTCTGTAGCAGCATGTAACAATACATCAACAGTACAATACAATTAGTGGAAACTGAATTCCCTTCAGTTCTGAAATGGGAGGGGGGACTGCTAAAAGCTCCTTTTATTCTTGCATCAATCTCACCGCTGATCAACACAATGTTCAAGTCCTTGTGTTTACTACAGATCTGACATATTGCACTTGGAATTTTCACTTCAGAAAGCCATTTTTCTTTGTCAAATATCTTATGTAATAGTTATTTCCTTTAAGTGGTTACTAAAATCTCAGCTAGATAATGCTGCTAAAGTCACAGAAGACTACCGTTGCCACTAGAAGTACATTGAATCAATGACATCACCAAGGAGATATGAAATGAAAACCAAACAATAAAAATAAGATAGTTTAACTGTTTCATAACCCTTGTTGACATCAGTTTTTGATCACCCCAACATGGTTTTGTTCACATAAGAGCCTAAAAACCCCTTTTGATGAAAACATATAGTGACAGATGAATCAGAACAGTCAGGATTTTTTTGTTAGCTAAATCCTCTGTGGTGCCGAGAGATTATCGAGTTTACAATAATCAAATGAAAACTTAGCCTGCGCACAGCCTGGTACCAGCTAAATCTAGCTTTTAGACGCTTCATGAAACATAGTACAAAGCAACTGCTTATTCTTGGAGATGGCATTGCACATCAGATTTAATTCCATATTCACTCACATTCTGCTAAGTGTCTGAAACTTTCATAAAGGCTCTTCAACCACATTTTAAGAATAAAAAAATAAAGGATAGCATTCCCCTCCCCCCCATGAAAGAAACCAAACAAGCAAAGAATGGTAGGAAGTGAAGAGAAGGGGTCAAACATGTAAAAAATGCCAGCAAGTTATAAAGGCACCTGGGTTCAAATCTGGAATAGGGCTCCAGTGAAATGAGTCATGTGATATCAAACCCTTCCCCACCATATATGAAATTATTAACTACACCAGTTTGCCCAGCTGAGCCACATTAGAACTGATGGGCAATGAGAAATATGTGTTGGGAAGGTTTTAGGGTGCTTTGAGTATGTACAGTATAGTGCAATACGACTTCTTTTCCCCTCCACTCCCAGAAACACTGTGTGGGCTGGACAGCCCAGGAAGGTTTTCCTTTTAAGAATGCTCTAGGAAGGAGAAACACGGCAACAACAGTGATTGCCAGGAGCATCAGGGGGCTGGCGACTAGCCACGCACTGTCCCAATGCTGTGGAGTCATGTGACCACAGCAAACCATTCCGTCCATCCTGGGAGAACACCTGGGCTGGAGCCCTCCTCAGAATTTCCCTGCTATTTTAGGTTCCAGACTCTATCAGCTGGTTTTTGCACTTGGGAGACTGAATGTTCAGATGAGGGTGTAGGAATGGGAAGGACTGAACATAGATAGGGCCTAAATCAGCAGGGCTCTGTGGTGAAGATTGCAACTGCTGCTAGGCGCTCCAGAGATGGATCCTGTAATGGTGGGAGCAGCCAGCATGCCTCCAAACCCCAGGTCTCTTCCAATGAATGCAGTCACTTTTCTGAATTTCCCCTTTCTTCACAGAATAAGGTCTCATGCAGATTGAAGGGGAGTTTGTCAGGAGGCAGGGGTTGGGAAGATGCAGGCTGAGAAGCTGGGTTGAGAGAGGACATAAGAGGGAGTCATGGGTAATAATTAAGCAAGAATTTTAGTGGGCTAGTAAAAACAAATTGTTTAGGTTTGTGGAGAAGAGTTGGGTCAGCAACTAATGAGTCCAGTAGAAGGACTAGTCCATGTACATAAAAATAATAATGCCACCCCCCACACACACATTGAGTTAACAAGCTGTGTAACAATCAGCTTCCTGATCTCTTTGCTTGTCTGTCATATCTCTTCTTCCCACCCAAGCCTTTTCAGATTGTAAAAACCTTAGGGAAGGGATTATGTCTTCCTGTGTATCTGCAACACACATTTTGATTGCTAGTGTAATATAAACTATATGAATTAATATTATCATTATAATACTGTATCTAGAGTTATCAAGCCTGTCTCTAGGAAGTGCTATCAATCTCTCATGTTCCTGTGTGACAATATTTTTTTAAATAAACAAAATAAAATAATGGGAAGGAGTTAAAAAACAAACAAGCATGCTTTACGTGAGCACTACCCTACTTACTTATGCCACTGCACTGACCTGCATGCGGTTCATGGCTTCACGAATCTGATCAAGATGGTGTGCCGAGCTGAGGGCCTCGAGACGAATGTCTGTTAACTTTAGCTCTTTTTCCCTCAGCTCACTCTTTAGCTGTAGAATAATTTCAGCCTCTGCCTCTGTGCACTCACATATCCTAAAGAGGAGAAGGAAAATAGGCAGGAGATTAAAGGAAGCTTTTCTCCTACAAGCAGTGTCATTATTACATATCAAAGAACAGAAAATGGTTGCTGCTGGTAAAACCTAGGAATGGAGAGAGAATTTTATGAAAGCAATATGAAGAGGTTCAAACTGCAAAATAATAATAAAGAAAAAAAACTAAAAATGTCCAGATGAAATGATCATTTCTCTTTTTTATCTTTCAAATTTAGTTAGTTTCCTGTGGTGGAAAAAAAAGATGTAAAAAACTGAGTATGTACAAAAAACTAGATTTTTTTTTACATGCTTGGTTTTTCAAATGTGGAATGGCTGTATCTTCAAATAGCTTGAACTATATTTCTCAGCTGTGTCACTTTTTCTGTGCAAAGGGTATGATTTTCCCAGATATCAGTGATCAAAACGGAGCTATGGTGGTCAAATTAAACTATTGTTACATACTATTTATTAGACACTATTTAATAGTGTGCGTTGTGCTGTGCAATACACAGAAATACAGCCCCTGCCCTTATGATCTAAAAGACAGTCCCTGCAGGGGCTGTCATATTTACCTATAGTCACCCCATTATGATATATGGTTTCTCAAGCACTGCAGTTATTTACTTATACTTATAATAGGGTAAATATGTAACTGGCTAAATGTTGATTTTTACAATGGAGATCATTGCATAGTGCGATTACAGACACAGAAGCATTTCACTTGACTTTGTCTAGTGAAGCCCAGAAGCTACCTGATTCTCATTCTACAATGGTACAATTCACCTCACCTGTTATGTAGAACACCATGTCCCAGAACCCACTTGCTATCTTAATTAAATCCATTCCATAACATAGAACTGCCAGAATATGGAACAACAAGTTTCTGCCACACTTCAGCACCAGTCAATGCTTGCAGTCAATTTACTCGGATGTTATTTTGCTTTTATTACTTCTTCTAAATAGTTAATGTTTATAAAATACTTTAAAGATGAAAAGCACTACATAATAAGTATTATTATTGCTACTAGTATGCAAACATGAAACAGAGGTCAGCTTTTAATTGCCAGAATGCATGCAAATGCATTTTGGGAAAGAAAATGACACACTCTTCAGTTTAGCACTTGGATATGCAATTCCATGCCTCACACTCCTTTTTACCGGGATCTATGCTTGTAGGTCACATGACCATTTTGCCTTTTCTTTGGTGCCCAGATTAGAGATGACCTGCATATACACACATTAGACAGACGGAAGCAAGTGGAGGAAAGAAAAGGCAATGATTTAGAACATGAGACTCAGGTCAGAAAAATTAAAAAGAAACCTCTGCAAAGGAAAGAAGATGTAGTTCATGGTATATAAAAACATTAAATGGCAAACTAAAGAAGGGAAAATGTCAGACTTTAGCCTGACTATATTAACAACATGTACCAGTATTTTATATATGAGGAAAAGAGATAAAGACTCATATTACAACGTACTAGGCCATCCCCCTTCACTCAACCACTGCAGCCACCATCACCACTGAACTGATGAGGAGTTTTGCATGTGTGGGAATACTGAAAGAGATATTGACTGATCAGAAGGCTGACTTTACTTCAAAGCTAATGGGGGAATTGTGCAACCTCTTGAAAATCAAGGCCTTGCAGACGTTGGTCTACCACCTCCGGACAGATGGGCTGGTGGAGTGCTTCAGTAAGACACTGAAAGAGATACTTAGGAAATTTGTGACCTTGGATCACCATCACTGGGATCAGTAACTCCCTTTCTGCCATCCATGAAGTGCCACAGGCACTGACAGGGTTCTCACCATTCGAACTACTATATGGTCATGCAGGATTCCAGACCACCACCGCGAGAAAGCCAATTTGGTACAGTATGTGATCCACCTGATGGAGAATTTGGAAACACTGAGGGCTTTTGCTAAAGAAAACCTGCTGAAATCCCAACAGAACCAGAAACGGGCCTGCAACCAAAGGGCCAGGATGTGAGAATTTGGGCCCAGGGAAAGGGTATTATTGTTGCTATTGACCTTAGATTCAAAGTGACTGACCAAGTGGCAGGATCTATTTGAGGTGGAAAGAAGGGTGTAAGGGACCAGGGTTAGGCAGTCGCAGCTGGGCTGACTCTGCTTGCCAGGGACAGAAGTCGCTAGGCCAGAGTTAGAGGAATCTCAAAGCCAAGCTCTGTAAACAAGAGTCAGGGCTGAAGTGAGAGACTGGAGATCAGAGGCAATACCAGGTTAGGATCATGAGGCAGAAGTCAGGGTCAAAATCAGGCTGGAGTCAGAGACTAGAGATCAGGGGACAAGGCAATGTCTGTCATAGTAACAGGTCAAGATCTGTGTGGTTGCCCAGGCAACTTCCTGGGACAGCCCCTGGGGTTAAGTAGGGGCACTTGTCCAATCAGAGGGCCACAGGGTACTGTCACTTTGGGTTTCGTGAGTGGTACTTTCTGGAGCACCTATTCTCCACAGTGCTCCCTGTATGTGCTTCTAAAGGGCCTTCCAGTGGCACTGTGGAAATATCAACCACCCCAGGCTCTTCAGATCCAGGTTCTAGTCCCTGGGTCCTTACAAAAGGTGGGGGGTGGTCAATTATGAAATCTACCAGCCAGGGGGAGGAAAGAAATGCAAATATATCAAGTGAAACTTCTAAAGACTTGGGGGACCAAAAAGGCCTTCTCATAGCACCTTTCCCCCCACAAACCTCACTAGATCACCCTGCAAGCGCCATGATGCAGGGCCAGTACCAATGGAGGGAGAACTCCAGCCTGAACAAAAACAACAATTATGATATCTGATTGAAGCCTTCCCCTCAGTATTCTCAGTGCTGCCAGGAGGCACCTACCATCACATGGACACCAAAGTAGGAAAAAGGTCCAAGAAAGCCTTTGACCCCTTCCATTGAAAATTTGAGAGATAGTCCATCAAGAACTGCAGGCCATGCTGAACTCAGGGATGGTTGAGGAATCCCATAGTGAGTGGATACCCATAATACTTGTGCCAAAAATCAATGGGTCAACACAGATCTGCATTGATTGCCAGAGTGAATGCAATATTGAAATTAAATGAGTACCCATGCCTAGATAGATGAATTGCTGAACAGGCTAGGAGCTACCAAGTATATATCTGCTTTTGATCTAACAAAATGTTATTGGCAGATTCCTCTGACAACCAAATCACCAGAGAAGACTGAATTTTCTACCCCCTTTTGGTGTCTACTACTTTAAGACCATGCCATTTGTTCTTCACAGGGCCACAGCTACCTTCCAACGCCTAATGAACCAAGTACCCATGGATGTTAAACTGTGGCATACAGTAAAGATATTGTCATTTCTAGCAATGAGAGGAACGATCACCTAAAACACATTACCACATCACTGCCAGCCCTCAAAGAGGCAGGAATAATGGACAACTCTGCCCAATTTTGACTGGCCAGCTGGGAGGTAACTTACCTCCGCTATAAAGTAGGTGACAGGTGTCTGAAGCCGCAGATTGGTAAAGTACAAGCCTTGGACCAATGTCCCATGCCAACCACCAAAAAAAGCAAGTGTGTTGCTTCCTGGGCCTTTCGAGCTATTATAGCCTCTTTGTATCAAGTTTTGCCACCATTGTGGCCCCCCTGGCAAATCTGATAAAAGACACAAGCCCTAGGAAAATTCATGATCTGAAGTCTGCGACAAGGCATTCGAGATGCTGAAAGGTCAGCTAAGTTGGGAACCAGTTCTCTCAAGCACAGACTTTTCCAAGATAATTCATACTGTAGACTGAAACCTCAGATGTGATTCTTGGGGCAGTACTTTTGCAGGACTTTAGAGGGGAAGAACATACCATTCTTTACCTTAGCAGGAAGCTGTTTTCCCAAGTATCCTACTCTGTCACTGAGAAGGAGACCCTGGTCATGAAGTGGATCGTAGATGCCTTACAATATTATTTGTTGGGGAATCGTTTCCTTTTAGTAATATACCAGACACCCCTCCGATGGCTGAACTTGATGAAAGATTCCAACCCTAGGATCATGCAATGGTAGCTTTTCTTGCAGCCCTATAGTTTCCAAGTAATTCACCAAGCAGCAAGGGACCATAAGAACATGGAGTTTTTTTCACGGGTAGGGGAAGAACAAGGATCCATAATGGTACCCCGGCACTGAACTTGAGGGGGAGAGCATGTGATGGGGTGTATGTACCCTGCACTAGAACTGAAGAGGGTAAAGAGCAACTCTAGGCCCAGGTGACCCTACCCAGCCACCCCACCCATTCATACTGGAGAGTATGCTCGAGCTGGAGGCGGAGCGGAAAAGGGAGCCAGACAGCTCAGAAGCAGCTTGATAGGGCAGGGAGAGAGACCTACTTTGGGAGCTCCTGCAGAAAGGTGCTGCAGAAGCCTTTTCATTGAGAGAAAGAGGTTGCCTGCTGAGCCCAAAGGGGCTGAAGGTTCAATTATTCTCTTTTTCCTTTACTACTTTGAGGCAAACTGTAAGACTTTGGTGAGAGAGTGGGTGGTAGGAAGTGGCCCGGGGAGACAACCTAAAGGCACTCCTGGGTGTTGGACATTGGTGCCTCATATAGGGCTGAAGTCTGCTGGAGAGGGAGGGCCCGGGCACCCTTACCAACTCCCCTCCTTACAGAGGGCACAGAAACCCTCACTTCCAGACTCTCCCTTGAGGGAGGAAGGAGAAGGTAATGACTTTTAGAACCCCACAGCTGAGACTGGACACCCACAGGGGTCAAAAGATGGACTGAAGGGCCTCCCCCCAGTCATGATGGCAGGGGACCCCATATCTTCCTTGGGATTCAGTCACCCCGAGGAGAGATCAGACTGATTGGTGACCTGACCAGCGGGTCTAGTCAACACCCACCCAAAAAACAGACAAAAACAGGGTATGATTGTGGCCCAGGAGAAATATTGGAGGCGGGGTGAGCAGAGGCCTAGCCCCCTAACCAGCAATGCCATCAGCGATTATCATCCTTCCCAGGACTCTTCAGTTTAGCACAGAAAAGAGTAACATAATCTGATGGCTAGGAGTTGAAGCTGGACAAATTCAGACTGGCAATAAGGTGTAAAATTTTAACAGTTAGAGTAATTAACCATTGGAACAATCTACAACAGATTGTGGTGGATTCTCCCTTACTGACAATTTTAAAGCCAAGATTGGATGCTTTTCTAAAAGATCTGCTCTAAGAATCACTTTGGGGAAGTTCTATGGTCTGTGTTATACAGGAGATCAGACTAGATGATCACAATGGTCTCTCCTGGCCTTGGACTCTATTAATTGTTCTAGATGGTACATTCAGTGAGTTTAGCAGTGAAGGGCGGAGAGCAGATGGAATGGTAGTTAAAAAATAAAGGAAATCAAGGGTGGTTTCTTGAGGTTGCGGGATCCTTGACTATGCTTTTTTCTTTGTGGAGAAAAAGCCAGCATAGAGGGAGGGAGATATCAGGAGAGGTGCTGAGAGTAGAGGCAGGTGCAGGGAGTAGAGACAATAAGCAAGTGAGATTGGTGTCAGCGACAGAGGGAAAGAATAAAATGGAGCTGGTGAGGAAAGGTGGTGGGAGAGAGGACGAGGGAAGGAACGGAGGGAAGCCAAAGTTAAGCTTCTCTTTTACCAGTCATCTTTTTTGTGTGTGTGTGGAGGAGGGTGCAGCAGAAGGAGAGAATTTCAGGAGGGAGTCAAAGCGACTAAGTGGCTGGTGTTGCGGATGTAGGAGTCAGAGTGGAGAAATAGTGTTGTTTGACTGAGAATAACACAGAACTAGTGGCTCAAAGAACAAATCTGTAGTGAAGGATATCCAGCAGTTCATGGGATGTTCTCAGAAGGGGAGATGGAAAGGAGCCAGGGGGATGGTACATGACAGCAACATAGAGGGGGAGAGTGTTGTCTGATGGAGCATTGTTCAAAGGAGAGGGTGGAGCAGAACACTGCAAGAAAGACTGAGAAAAGCCCAATGCCCTCAACACAGCCATCTGGGGATGACTTAACACAAGGGGTGTGAGAGGAGGAGGAGGAGGAGGGGCTGTGCTATAAGACAGCGCTGCTGCAGAAGCAGTGATTAAATGGGGGATGCAGGTTTTTGTCAGAACCAGGAGATGAGGGATGGAGAGAGAGAGAGATGAAAAGGTTGCCAATGTTGGTGATAGTATCTGAGATAGAACTGGGCAGGCTTAAAGAGGTCTGTTTCACAGTTCAGATATTTAATAAGAGCAACTAGTATAGAAAGAGAGACTTACGCAGATGCTGACTGTGATGGTTTCATTAACAATGTCCCACAGTCCCCTGAGTTGTGGGGCAATTTGGGTGATGATGGAAGAGATGAATCGGTGAGTTCCTCTATGTCGGAATGTGAGGAAGGAGGCTTGGTGGACTTTTTCTTTCCAAAGGCCTGTTTGAATGAGCTTCTTAGCTGGAGAAAAGAGAAAGAGAGAAAAATTACTTCCCTTGCCTCTCTGGATTTGTGCAGCTTCTGTTTTGAGGAGTTAGTTTGCAGATGCCATCCTAGCCACTGCCTGAGGTCAGTATATAGAAGCAGGGTATTAACATATGCAACACAGTATCTCTAAAGATATGATACAGTGTTTCTTTTTTATTAATTCAGCGCAGCGCAAACTGAATGCTATGGAAAAAATGCAGGATCAATTGCTTTTGCTAAGGGGGTGCTCATTTAAAACCATGAACCTCCTGTGGAATTCCATTTCCATGGCATTCCCTTCAAGGTGACTGGTTTTAAATAACCACTTTGTATCTAGAATACAGGCAGACATTGCTGATATCAAATGCTAAAAGTATAAGACAAAATCCAATTGATGTGGTTTGTAAATTTATTTTTCTATTAAGAGTTTGAATTGTAGAACTATTCAAACATATAATTTGCTACAGTTAGGATCAGAAGCAAGAAAGTTTAAGCTGTGATATAAGTTTTGCCCTTTAGTTTACTGTTGAGAAGAACATTAGCTGAAAGGTATGTATTTTTTTATTGCAGTTGTGTTTAAAGTAGCAAGTTCTTCATATACACAAGCATTGCCTTTTCTCGCTAGAAGCTCTTATCCATTATTGAAAAGGGACAGAATAGCCAAAGAGCCATTTATTTCAGGAACCAAGAGGACAACAGTTTTGTTTGCAATGAATTTTCACATTGCAATTAGCCCATTCATTGATAGATTAGTCTATTCAGAAGAGTAACTGATATTAGGAAAAATTGTGCTTTTCCTCAGAAAATTGCTCTGCTTAAAATTGTATAAAGCTTGATGACAAACTGATCCCTCTACAAAACAGTAAGGCACTTAAGCACTTTACTTCAATGGTATAATTGGAGAGTGGGGAGTGTGACCACTGATCAAAGAAATATTATTTAAGTTCTTTCCAGCTCATGATTTTTAACAAGAAAGAAATGGATTTTGGCTACACTCCCCCTTTCTACATTTTAAACTTTGAGATTAAAATGAATAGAGACAAACTGAGAAGACATACAGGATAATCTGTTTTTAGAAGGTACAAAAGCCTACTGCCAAAATGAATAGCAATCATGCCAAGATAGGGTTCTTTATAAATGCATGCCAAATTTTCCATGGTTTATATTCACCTCACTTCCTCTAGAGTTCACCTTGCAGAAACATGAAAGAGTGGGGAATTACAAATCAAGGGAATGAAGGCTGATGAGTATTTTAAAATATTACCTGCATAAACATTTTTTAAACAACAAAAAATATTTTTATTATGTATAGAAAATATTTCAATAAAACGTTCATACTGTGTGATATCTTTGTGATTTGTTTGATTAAAAAGCTTTATTTCTCTAAACATTGTATCTTGTTCACTGTTTGAACTATTAACAGATTTTAGCTCATTGTTCGGTAACATTTTTGAGTCAATCCATTTTACTAAAGAAAATTAAAACAGTGTTATCAAAGCCCAGTCATTTGTTTGATCATAGCAGCTATTTTAATGTTATATATTTATTTTAAATTGATCCTGACTGATGTAAACAATTTCCCACTGGTGATCAACAATTTTTGGCTTGCCAGTAACATCACACTGTGACTAGGTATGAACTGCTCCATATCTCTCTGGCCCCACAAGGATATTGTAGATGAAATGGGCCATTATGCTATTCAGGAACGAGGAAGCTACATAATATCTAGGCGATGGGTTTAAACCCGCTGAGCACATACCCAGTTTTTCTTTTTCTTTTTCTTGGAGTCAGCATCATTACCGCTGCCAATGCTTGAATGGCTTGTGGCACTGTTGATGCTGGAAACACTTTCTGAGGAATGTTGTCGTCTTATACGCAAATCTAAAAAAAGAAGAAGAAGAAAATACTGTATAAACCATCTGTCCGTCTGTGAGATGGACTCTAGTTTCAATATAATAACTATACTTACATTTATGCAGCACCTTCTTTCTCTAAAGGAGCCAAAATACACATAATATATGTAACCGGCATTGATGTTTTTTCTAGACCTGATTCAACAAGGCATTTCAGCATGTGAATAGTCCCATTGAAGTTCACGGGCTACTCGCATGCATAAAGCCAAGCACAAGTTTAAGCATCTTGTTGAATAGGAGTCTCTCACTGAGGTGCCAATCCTGGACAGCAATCCGTGCAATTGGACCCTTATATTTAAGCAAATTCTTGTCCAGGATTGGGGACTAACTATGTTACATTTCAATTGCTTAAATAATTTTCAAAGCACTGACTTATTTCTTACAGAGCTGTTGTCTGAAAGTCTGGACACTGTTTTACCCTTGGCTGAATTGGATTTTGAAGCAAGATGCTACTCCCTGACATGCCACCCTGGGAATCAGCAACCAGTAGTTTATTGAAAATAAAACATAATAAAAGACATGGAAGGTGAAGGATATTGGAAGTGTATAATAGGTCAGTGAGGCTTTTGGTTTTATTATTTTTTTAAGTCTCTAATAGCCATACCCTAATTACCAGAATATATACTCCTTGCATACACCCCAGAATACTCAGAGGAACTACTTTTTAAAGGAATTATTCAGAAGTGCTATTTTCTAGAATTAAGCTACATTGTATTGAAGACATTTAATAAAACAGTCTTGGGCTAGTTGTTCATAAATAATGCTACTTATAAAAAAAGATCAATGACATTTACAAAAAGTCACCTTCGCTATCATTCTTTCTTCTCTGGTTATTCCTTTTCTAGCTGTTGCTTAACAACATGAATGATACTGCACACCTTTGCAATATATGGTTTGTCATGTGATGTCTGTGTAAATTACAACAAAAAGAGGATTCAGCATCTGGAATTCACTGGGCTGAGCTGGCACCTTCTGTGCACCCCCTGAGCTACTGCTCAATCCAATGCTGACGTCATGGGTGCAACAACATTCAGAGCTGCAATTTAGAGTGGACTTCTAACTTCTGGTCATGTTTTGCTGTACTCTTTCTGACATTTGACTATTGTTTTGGACATAGGGTGACTAGATAGCAAGTGTGAAAAATTGGGACGAGGTGGGGGGTAATAGGAGCCTATATAAGAAAAAGCCCCAAATATCGGGACTGTCCCTGTAAAATCGGGACATCTGGTCACCCTACTTGGACATGTTTTATACCCACAGGTGTACTGAAAGGGTTAACTTTCAGCACTCAGCAACTGATTCTTGACCATACAACTTTGAGAAGTCTGGGCTCCAAGAATTGTTTGGCACATAGGTGATACATGCAAGTTTTCCAGCTGTGGAAACACCACAAATGTGACAAACACTGACTCCAGAATTCTCTCATCCTTGCCACAGATACTGTCCTCAAAATAAGAGAAAACCAGCAGCTTTGCTCTTCTCTGGGGAACAAATTAGTACTTACTTTTACAGTGACAAAAACATACCTTTGTGGGCATGATCAGGGCCATTCAAAGCTCCCTGAATAGCAGCCTGCGCAGCAGAATTCTGGGCTTTCAGCATTTCAATGGTTTCTCTTAGTTCTATAAGCTCAGATTCCTGTGGGAACAGCCGAGAGAGTTTCAAAGTATATAACAAAAGAAAAGTATTTTTCCACGATACAAGAAAACTATAAGACATCAGTGATCAAACTGAAGTCAGTGGGCTCACACAAGGGTAAAATTAAGTCCCAGATAGACTATATAGTTTCTCTCAAAAATATTATATTCAGCTAACATACTCTCATTTTCACTCATGTGACTTCAAATGCTGTGTAATGATGATGTTTTAAGAATGTTTAAAACAAGATTGGATGTTTTTCTAAAAGACACATTCTAGGAATTATTTTGAGGAAGTTCTATGGCCTGTGCTACACAGGAGATCAGATGATGTTCCCTTCTGGCCTTAGAAACTATGAATCTTATGAAAAAAAAAAAAATATTTTAGCACTAAAGATTGATCTAAGAAAGGATCTCCTCTGAACATTCATTACGATGTTCAAAGTCATTATATAGCCTAAAGCATATCAAATATTCTCTTCTACACCCCTTAACTTGATAGATGATTCTTTAATGGATGAATTCCATCCTCAATTTGTATATCATTACCAAAAACCCTAAACAGTACATAAAATGTTAAGCACAAAAACCTGCTCTACAACAATAGCTATGCAATTTACAGAGTGACATTGTTCCACTTCTCTGCAATAAATTCTACACTGGAATGCACAGTCAATTTTAATTAAAACTAGTTTTATTACTGCTGCATTAAGAATCAATCCTTCTAACTCTCATTTTATATAATGAGGATTAAAGCTGCTAAAGGAATTTAACCTCAGTGGCAGAGGAAAGAGGAGAAGGAGCAAAACATGCTCTTAAGTCTCTGGGAAAATGAGTTTACTTATGAACTGATTTGTTTCAATGTCACCATTTTAATCTCTTCTGGATAAGGGGCCATCTGAGGGAAACTAGACTTTACAAAAGATTTTTAAAAATTGTTTTTAACATAAACTGTTTAAGAACATTTTGCTTAATATATAAAAAAGTCACCAAAAATGCTTTTTATCATGAGATACTTCAGGGCCAGTTTTGCCACCCTTACTCACGGAGAGTAGTTCCTAACTTTGTAAGCAGTTCCACTTAATCAAAAGGAGGCCAGACAGTGAACCACTACTCACATTGACTTCAGTGGAGCTACCTGTATGAATAATTGCTTACCAGCGTGCAAAGGGTTCAGTCTGGCCCAACGGGAGTGCTTGCTGAGTAAGCGTCTGCTCACCATAAGTAAGGGTTGCAGAATCTGACTCTGGGAGCTTCAACTTGCAAGGTGCTGAGCGCCCTGCTACCAATCCAGCAATGTATTTAAGTGCATGGTTTGCTTTAAGACTCTGAGTAGCCCACTGTAGTTAGTGCGAATACTCAACTATTTAAAGTTAAGGAAATTCTTTGCTGGATGGGGTCATGGTGCTCAGCACCTGGCAGAATCGGGCCCTACAACAGCAGCTCCTTTAACTGGTACCATGCGTCTGATTACATATACTAGGTATTAGGTTTTGATATTTCTTCCCCTCTAAATAGCAAAATCAAAACCAAATCTGTTAGACAACAGCTTGGTCACATTTCATAAACATTTTCAATAGGGTCATTTTTCTCTATTTAAAATCCTTTCTTTTGCCAAATTTTTAGTATTCTGACAATGTTGTCGGATTGGAATGAAATACTCCAATTGTTTATGATGAGCCTTTGTTGAAGAATCCTTCCATATGGATTAAACCAAGAGTCACAAATGTATTAATTAAAATCTGGAAATGAAAGATTTTATCTTCAAACCATACTGTGATATTCTTAGGGTAAATCTGATGCGGCACAATTTAATTCTTATAGAGCTTTATGAAGATTTGATTGCAATGGCCAGGAAAGAAAGATGTGTCTGTCTTGTTGTCACCGCTGTCCTTTCTTTCATTTTTTTAAAATTTAAACACAAACCCTAAAATAATCTGCTATGTTCCACATTCAAGCGTCTGCTTTTGTAAGCATACCTTTTGTTCAGCTGTCATTGTTAGGCTCTGCAGTCGGCCAGTCATATTTCCTAAGCTCTTTTCAAAAGCTGCTACTAGATGAGCCTGTGAAAGAAATAGAAGAAAAACATTTGAAATGTCACTAGTGTATGAAATGGACTGAGCAAAGCTTCCATGGTACATAAGGTATAATTCATGTGTTTTGGCTGGTCTAACAAAATCTGTAATCTGTAGCATTCAGTATTTTCTACTTCACCTCCTCGCTTTCTCCCACCCCACCCCAACTGCCACAGCATTTTCCATTTTTCCAGGCTCGGTTTTATCTTCTCCAACTCTTTAGTTGCAGCCTTCAGAACATTAAGTGTGATTTTGCTTTTCATGTCACTCTGGGCAATAGAACTTCCCCCTGACGTTATTCTTTCCCATTACTGAAAACAACAGAAGGACTCAAGCACTCGAATTTAAAGAAAAGTTCTAAGCTGTCAGGCTCCCAGATACAAAGCTCATCTAGAAGAGTCCATGGAACCAGACTATGGAATGTGTCTAGATACTGTCATGATGACCTTTTAAGATATTATTACTTTCTCTAATACAGCAACACTCTTCTGAAAGTGTCAGACATTTGCAGAGAGCCATAATATAATCTTATTCCTACTGGTCTTTAGAGTGGGTTGAGTCTGCATATCTATCCTTGTGTTGTTTTAATATAAAGGCACTGATTTCTTTGAAGTTAGATGCCTACATTTTTCAGTGATGCAACAAACAGAAATTGAAATTCAGCAATGCTTTGTTTTAAAATGTTTAATTCAAATTTTCGAAGAATACCCAACACAGACTATATTCAAGAAGTATTAGGCTAGACATACTCGTTATTTGTTATGTATTTATTTGTTTAGATGAAGAGTCAATTGTCATGGCATCTAAAATGTTACAGCTATTAAACCCCCAAGGAATTGCAGGAAAAACATGTCAGTGATGTTATTAACTTTTTATGGCTGTAAGAGTCACTTAGAAAGAGAAAGAGTGTGGTCATGTTTACAGTTTCAGAAAATATTCAAATGGAGGAATTTCTCTCTAAGAGTTTGTAACAGGGCAATGGACTGCTATTTCCACGGAGGTCTGTAGGATTCACAAAATCCACAGGTCTCTTTGCTTAACTTATTTTTTTCTGAGGGATTGCCACTTAACTTACACATACTGGCAAAGCAGAGAAAAGGGCCAGGAGGACCTTGACAAGATGAGAGAGAACGAACAAGATATGGTTAAAGGAGAGAGGTTCTTTTACAAAATGTGAATTCATTGCTCCTGAAAAGTACCTAATTTTAAACAGTATAAAATTTGTCAAACGGGAGAGCACTCCTGAATCAAATACATAGGGTGGGAATTGAGAATACAGTACACGCTAGAATTATGGAATCTCCTGTCACAAAACCAAATAGTAAAATGAAAGTAACTATAGGCAAAGTTTTCAAATTTAGGCACCTGTACTGTGTTTCCAAAACATGCACACCCAAAGTAGGCATATGTGTATGCAAAGAGATTAACTGTGCTTGTTCAAGCACCCATTTATGTGCAAAATTAACTCTTTGGTGCATACAAACATATATGCTACTCAACAGCTTTTTCAGATGCAAGTTCTAATTCATTTGTGAGCACAATTATTAATGTTGTTCAAATACATTCAGGTGTACTTAGTTGTTCCCAAAATCTTCTAGGTATTGTCCAAGCACACAGAAATAAATAACTGTGTCCTGAAAAGTGTACAGTCTAAAACAGATTAAGGCAGATGAATGGTGGGGGAAGAGGATACAACACAGAAGACTTTGTTTGGCCCATGTCAAGGTATGCTGTTGGGAGGTGAAAGGAACCTCCCAAAACCTTGCTCTGCATATTATTTCTCATAGATGGAAGGATATTTATGCACCTGAGACTGGTCGAATGAGAACTGTTTTTTTGCAGGCTGTAAATTGTTTTGTACATCTTTTAGAGTGATGTAAGATTCTGCAACATCATGTAAAAGTCTGTGTTATAAGCAGACATAGAGTTATAAACAATAATTTAATTATTTATGGTAGTAGTAGTCAAACAATCTGCTTTCAACATATGCTCAAGGATATATATTCTATTTCATAACTTAGCCTTAAGCTTGTCCTGAAAAGATTTATGCCTGAAGGGCTAAATTTTTATAAACATGAGCCTAAGTGTACATGGAAAACATGTAGTTTCCTAGAGATTAATCAGCAATTGTGTATACAGATATCTGTTTTGCATATTTGGCATGCATTTATGAAATTGTCAGCCTAAATTATAGAATACAGTTTATATATATATATGTGTGTGTGTGTGTGTATACATATATACATATATGTGTGTGTGTATACATATATACATATATATTAGGGCTGTCAAGTGATTAAAAATATTAACTGATTAATCGCACGATTAAAAAAATTATCGTGATTAATCGGGCTGTTAAACAAAAAGAGAATACCATTTATTTAAATATTTTGGATGGTTTCTACATTTATATTGATTTCAATTACAACACAGAATACAAAGTGTACAGTGCTTACTTTATATTTTTTTTTTATTACAAATATTTGCACTGTAAAAAACAAAATTCGCCTAATACAAGTACTGTACTGCAATCTCTTTATCATGAAAGTTGAACTTACAAATGTAGAATTATGTACAAAAAATTCCTGCATTCAAAAATAAAACAATATAAAACTTTAGAGCCTACAAGTCCACTCAGTCCTACTTCTTGTTCAGCCAATCACTCAGACAAATAAGTTTGGTTACAATTTGCAGGAGATAATGCTGCCCAATTCTTGTTTACAATGTCACCTGAAAGGGAGAACAGGTGTTTGCACGGCATGTTGTAACCGGAGTTGCAAGTTATTTACGTGCCAGATGCGCTAAAGAGTCATATGTCCCTTCATGCTTCAACCACCATTCCAGAGGACAACCATCCATGCTAATGAGGGATTGTGCTGGGTAACTATCCAAAGAAGAGTGGACCAACTCATGTTCATTTTCATCATCTGAAAATGTCAGATGCCACCAGCAGAAAGCTGATTTTCTTTTTTGGTGGTTCGGGTTCTGTAGTTTCCGCATTGGAGTGTTCCGCTTTTAAGTCTTCTGAAAGCATGCTCCACACCTCGTCCCTCTCAGATTTTGGATGGCACTTCAGATTCTTAAGCCTTGAGTCGAGTGCTGTGGCTATTTTTAGAAATCCCACGTTGGTACCTTCTTTGCGTTTTGTCAAATCCGCTGTGAAAGTGTTTTAAAACGAACATGTGCTGGGTCATCATCCAAGACTGCTATGACATGAAATATATGGCAGAATGCAGGTAAAACAGAACGGGAGACATACAGTTCTCCCCCAAGGAGTTCAGTCACAAATTTAATTAGCACATTTTTTTAATGAGCATCATCAGGATTGAAGCATGTCCTTTGGAATGGTGGCCAAAGCATAAAGGGGCATACGAATGTTTAGCATATCTGGCACATAAATACTTTGCAACGCCGGCTACAATAGTGCCATGTGAAAGCCTCTTCTCACTTTCAGGTCACATTGTAAATAAGAAGCAGGCAGCAGTATCTCCCGTAAATGTAAACAAATTTGTTTGCCCTAGCCATTGGCTGAGCAAGAATTAGGACTAAATGGACTTGTAGGCTCTAAAGTTTTACATTGTTTTGTTTTTGAGTGTAGTTATGTAACAAAAAAATCTACATTGGTAAGTTACACTTTCATGATAAAGAGATTGCACTACAATACTTATATGAAGAGAATTGAAAAATATTATTTCTTTTTATCATTTTTACAGTGCAAATATTTGTAATCAAAAATAATAATATAAAGTGAGCACTGTACATTTTGTATTCTGTGTTGTAATAGAAATCAATACATTTGAAAATGTAGAAAAACATGCAAAAATATTTAATATATTTCAATTGGTATTCTATTATTTAACAGTACGATTAATCATGAGTACATTTCTTTAAGCTAACTGTTAAAGAAATTAACTTAAAAAAATTTAATCGTGATTAATCGCGCTGTTAAACAATATATATAATTACAGTGGAGATATATATACATATATATATTACTTTAAAATCAGTATATATACTGTTTAAAGTCATCCTTGATGTTTTGGAAATAGCACAACTTGATTTCTTACACTAATCTCACACTCTCATGTCAGTTAAAAGAAAACAGCAATTGCCTTTTAAAACCACCATTTGTTTTCAAGGCCACTTTCCACTTGAAAAATCAGCACTGTATTACCAGAACAATCCAGGCAACTTTACCTTGTTTTAATTCTCTTGAATATGACAGGTGACTCAGCATATAATCAGAGCTGAAGTAAAACATACTCTCATAGAGGAACTACAGCCAATTTTCTCCTATTTTACATTTGTTAACAGCAAGCTAATGGAGTTTCTCCATTCATTGCTTCATGAAAAAATGTGTGAATAGTTATGCACGCAGTTTTCCATGAGTATAACTCTCAGGTGTCAGTTTGTTTGGTGTGCGCATGCAAACCACAAAGAGGACATATAATTGTTTGCTCTGATTATACATAATTTATACCACTCTTTCATGATTCTGCTGTAATAAAGTACAAGTCTTTGGAAGGTAATTGGGCATATTTATTATAATCTATATTTTAAATTCAGAGCTACATATAGTATAATCTTTAATTTACATTGCATGTCTCTATGAATATTTAACCAGAAGATTATGGGGAAAATTAAGAATTGAAAAGTTATATTGTCTGATATAGATATGTCATATTGTGGCCTGAAAACCTTTGGAAAATGATAGCTATGTCACAATCATGGATATTTTTAAAAAAAAAAATTAGTCTATGATAGAATATATTTTTTTCCTTGCAGTTAAAAATTGCATAATTTTAAAGCATGAGTGGAATTGCATCTGGATGATGACGGATCTCGCCTGAGAGACACTGTCAGGAGTATAAATAAGACTGGGTTTGTGGATGTTAAGGGGCTCAAAACATGCTCTTTAGTTAGTTATTTCATAAACCTCATGAATGAGAAGCAAGCTGTATGCTGAAAGTAATTAGAGAATTATATTT